AAATTTTTTTAGTTAATTCAAAATCGGTTTCGATTTTAAACCAAAATCGGTTTTACCCACCCCTACAAATAATGGCATAATCATTCAAACTTTCTCCTTCCCTCATCATATGTGTTGTCATGCACCTTTCCCTCTTTTTTTTCTACATCTTTCCTTACCTCCCATACCTCCCAACTTTAACCTTTCACCACCTCCAACAAAAAAATTACTATTATTAATTCTATTCCACTTAAAGGAGAGAAATTTACATTTTAGGGACAGAGATGCAGAGAATAAAGAGAGAGAGAAAGAGATGAGATCCATTTCTTTTCCATATATCAGCTTATGTTGCTAGCTAGGGTTGAAACTAAGAGAGAATACACAAGGCACAGAACCCACTCTTTTGGGTTTTCTCCTAATTACAAGACTAAGAAACCATTAGTTGTCTGTTTTCTGTTTCTGGGTTTTCTCATATATACAGAAACAATTCAAAAAACTGACCTTGATTTGGGAGAAGATGGCAACAGAAGAAGAAGCAAAAATCTCAAATGGTACTTTTGTCCAAACCTCAATAATTGGATCCAATCCTCCTGCTCCAAAGAGAAAGCGAAACCTCCCAGGCAAGTTCCCCATAATCCTTCTTCCAACTCTGGATTCTTCTTCTCTCTCCCCCTTCTCTAATCACATAGGTATATTCAAAGTAACATGAAAAACGATTTTTTCGCCAGCTAGAGAAGTTAGTATGCTTAGCTATTACCGAGGTATTTACAAAGATGAGTTGTTTCTACAAGTTATTGCTTTGTCTCCAAAGACTCTCATGGCAACAAACAGATTCCTGTGTGAAATATGTGGAAAGGGTTTCCAGAGAGATCAAAACCTTCAACTTCACCGGCGAGGCCATAACTTGCCATGGAAGCTTAAGCAAAGGACAACAAAAGAAGTCAGGAAACGCGTCTACATCTGTCCAGAGAAGACCTGCGTGCATCACCACCCTTCAAGGGCCCTAGGAGACCTTACTGGTATCAAAAAGCACTTCTGCAGGAAGCACGGTGAGAAGAAATGGAAATGCGAGAAGTGCTCAAGGAGATATGCTGTTCAGTCTGACTGGAAAGCTCACTCAAAAACCTGTGGCACTAGGGAGTATAAATGTGACTGTGGCACTCTATTTTCAAGGTAATAAACAAATATTGTATTCTTTTCTAGGTATATAGTTGATATTAAGCAGAAGTGCTTAAGGAGGGAAAGGAAAACAAAAGAAAATTGTGGTGAGTTTTTGTGTTTGTGGCTGTGATAGATGATAAAACATCAATTTCTTTTCTGCCCCCAAAAAATAAAATCAAGAAAGAAAAATGAATACCTGACAGTGATTTCTCTTGTTGTTTTCTCCCTCTCCTTTCATTCTCTCTCTCCCTATGGCTTCTAAGAAAGGAAGGCAAAGACGAAGAGCACTAATATTGTTTATTTCAATCCGCTAAACATGTTGAAGTAATGACTTTTTCTGTATTATTTTGAATTTATTTGAGTTTTTTTTTTTTAATATGAACTTGTCTTGGGGGAGCAGGAGGGATAGTTTCCTCACACACAGGGCATTCTGTCATGCATTGGCTCAAGAAACAGCAAGAGTGAATGCAGCATCCCTTGTGCACAACTCGGCCACAAGCAGTGTTATCAATTATCATCATCTTTTGGGGGCTCCAATGGGGTCTGACATAATGTCACAGCATTTGTCTTCTATTTTCAAGCCAATTTCAAGCACCAATCAAGCAGTGATGAATCAAACTAGACGAGGACTCTCCCTTTGGCTAGACCATGAAGCAAGAGGCAATAACAATCTCCATGAGATCGATCATCAACTTGGTGCTATGAATTCAGGAACAGTATACAGTACTGACCCTTTAGTTTCAGGTTCATATCCTCTATCATCTGATACTAGTTACCAATTAGCTTGGACGTTTGGGAATAAGCTCTCCTCAAACAGTTCTGAAGAGTTAACAAGCACCACTTTAGTATCCCTTCCCTTAAGCAATGTGAAGGAGAATGGACGTCACCATCAGCTTCTGAGTGTTCCTTCATTGTTTAGCATCCAGCAGCACTCTCATCAAATGGTACAATCAACAGCGGATACGTCTGCCACAGCTCTCCTGCAGAAAGCTGCCCAGATTGGTGCAACTTTAAGTGATGCATCATATATAGGGAGCTTCAAAATGAAGGCCAGCAACATTACTCAGGTTGTAGATGGGAGCAAGTACAGTGACCTGTATGTTTCAAACAACACACAGACACATAATTCTATGGGAAGTGAGCATCTGGAGAACTCATCAGATATTACAAGATTGGATCAGTTACAAATGTATCCTGCTGCTAAGCGCCAGCATACACAAAGTGAAGATAATGCTGCAGCAGCAGGGCAAACAAGAGATTTCTTGGGGGTTGGGTTGCAATCCATCTGTCATCCATCTTCAATCAATGGATGGATTTGAGAATCGGCAATGGGAATTTTTCTTCTGTTGTATATGTTAAATGGAAAATAAAGTGCAGGCTGGTCGAAGTTGAAGTGGAAAAGGAAGAGACAGAATTTAGAGTTGGGGAAACTTTTGAGGCCGAGAGAGAAAAAGTGGCATGACTGTTTTGATAGAGGGCTAAAAGTTTGCCTGGATAAACAATTGAAGAGGTGAAGGAAGAGATCCATGCATATTCTCTTGAACTTAAAAAGTTTATACCTTTAAAATATTATGGCTTTTATCTTTGATAAAGAGAGAGTGCAGTAGTGGGGGCAAAGCATGAATCCCCTTTTCAGCTCCATTGTTGAATAATTTGTAAATGTTTAAGATGTTACATCAAGAAGGTATGAGAATTCAAAGGAGTTTAAAAATCTTATTATTTATCAACAAATAATTAAGTAAAGTAAAACCTAAGACTATCAACAAATAATTAAGTAAAGTAAAACCTAAGGCAAATTGGGTCTTGCCTTTTTATGTATAATCAAAAGATGGGCACTTGAGCAATTGGGGCACCTTGAGGCTTGACTGCTAGAACATCATTATTTTTTTTATTATTTTTGGATATTTTAATTTATTTTATTAAATTAAAATTTGGAAAGATATGTCTAAAAATCAAATATAATTTTTTGCAGACAAAAAGTACCTCTATGAAATGGTATCTTTCTAGAAGCATACATCCCTACAAATAGTGACTTTTCAGACAATATAAATTTAAATGCAAAATCAGAGTTTTACATCCAATTCTAAAAAAGTTTTGAATTCTATTATATCCTAAAAGATTTTAAATCTTTAAGAAAAATGAGATCATACATCAAAACATTTCTTTTATTCTTCTACTTTTTCCATATTTTCTAACACCAGTCGCATAGAAGCTTGGTCTCTAGAATAATCAAATTAATGTAACACTTTCATCACTAAAACGTGCATTATGCATACCTTGTGTTATACACAAGACTGAAGCAGTATTGCACCATGAAAAATGAAAAGAAGACCATCTAAGTTAATTTTAATTCTTTCAACTTTGATAGCAATATTTATGATCCTAATTAAATTTTTTATTACTGTTACTGCAAAATTGCTAACTAGATTTCGTTGTTTACAGATATTACAATGGACTCTGCATGTAAACTCACTTCTCTGACACTTCTTCCAAGTCCAATAGGCAAGCATCTTAGAAAGATACAAGCACAAACATTTTTTTGTAAAACAATAATTGCCTTGAACCTGAGAGGTCTCAGAGCTTGATGAGTCTGTCGTACAATATCCAAGGATCAGGATCTGACTGATGAGTACCAACATCAAAAGGAAAAACAAGATTGTGAAAAAGAAAAAGAAAATACATCTAAAGATAGAAAAAGAAAATTATTCTTGCACCAAAGTGTCACTTTTGCTAAAAATCAACTAGTGATAGCAATACATGCTGTGATACAAAATTAACCAAGAAGATAGGACATCATACAATTTACAGGTTCATGTCAAACTTAGTATAGCAGCCACTACTAGAAAACTCAACTTCACCGACCTACATCACCGACCTCAATCACCGACCTAACAATTTTCCTCAGTGAATTAAAAGTTTATCGACAAGCAACATGTCTAAAACTCTGGAAACAGTTAAATTAAGAGTAATATATATTATTTATGGGTCAGGCATGGGTCAGACAAGATCTTTGTCTGTGAATTAAAACAATGCACACATGTTATTTGTCGGTAATATCATGCAATATTCAGTCTGGCAACCGACGAACCAAAACAAAAATTACCGAAGTGCTTCTTGTCGGTAATTTCGCAAACTTAACGTTCCCCCGTGAATCCGACTGGTTGTGGCAAGAGTTGCAGCCTTTTGTTCCAGTTACCGACGTCCTTCTTGTTGATGAAATGGAAGATCAACTTATTCTAGTCAGTAATTTACCATATTTGCGGGTCACTTTTATTTTGTGGGTTATGATTTTATGCAAAATTTATGTAAAAGTTTTGTTTTAGGGGATCCTATTTCTTTTACTTTTGTCACTTTTATTCTCAAATGGTTATAGGTGATGAAAGTCCTTAAAATTTTTTTCATTCCCATCATTCTACAAAGTTTTTTTTCCATTAACATTGTTTTGGTTTTCATTTTTATACATTAACATACTTTTACTTCATTTATGTTATGCTTTTATCATATTTGTGCTACGATTTCTTTTGAGAGTATTATATGCAAAATCTTTGTTTTATAGTATATTATTTAAAAATATAAATATAAATTTATTAGTAATTAATTTTATTTAATATTTTATTTATTCTTAATAATTTTACTGAATATATATGAGATTAAAAAAGACAAAAAATATATATATAATAACAATACATAATGTAGCACAATACTTAAAAACTAAGAGCATCAACCCCAATTAACTCATCAATAAGAGTAAATGAATTTTTATTTTCTAAAATATTTTTCCCAGATTGAATTTTCAATTTCAATTGACCCATCATCGCACTATCAATAGTTCGCCCTCTAAAGATAAAAATTTGTGCTCTGGCAATGAAAGGACAACCATATTATTGTAGTGGTGAATCAAGAAGTGGTAAGGACTTTCTTAAGGAATATTATTATTTTTTATATATTTTAATAATATGGTCCAACATGCATCTTGTCGGAAAATTTTCAATTTCCAACATGTTTTAAGTCGATAAATTAGCAATAAATAAATTGGGTGGGATTGCAAAATTTTTTGGTTTTTCAATTCCCACCTTGAGATCAGTCACCTATGTTAACTTTGTCAGTAAAATAAATACAAACAAAGCACACATATGTATAGTAGACCATATGTACTACACTCCAGCTCTCTGCTTGGCTCATTTCTTCTTTCCTTCTTCTTCTTCTTCTTCTTCTTCTTTTTTCTTCTCCTTCTTTTTTCTTCTCCTCCCTTATCTGTGGGATAAGGGCTCCTCTTTCTCTTCAGTTCATTAATGCTGCTTGTTTAATTATTTATGTTTATAATTACATTATATTTATATGATTTTAGATTTATAACGTCTCAATCTCCTCTTTTTCTTTTTTTTTCTCCATATTTGATTGAATATTATTTTGTGTTATATCAAATCAATTTATTTGCAATTCCATTTTTTTTTAATTTTGTTTTTCAAGAAACATTAGGAGATAATCATTGGTAAATAAATTTTATTTATGCAAATTAACACTAAATTTCATTTATATGTTGATTAGAACCATTTTGGTTACAATTATAAATAAATACTAACCTAATTTATTTATTTTTTTATGTTTTTAGGAAATGGTGTTCTATAATTATTTATCTACTGAGGTAATGCT